GATTATTGTGAACAAAGGCACACAGACTCCCAAAAGCGAACCTCATCTTATTCACTAAACACAGGAACTCAGACGTGAAAGCCAAACGAGGGACGAACAGCACAGTACTTCACTTCAATCAATGACATCCGCAACACAATAACAGGAATGAAGACAAAAATGATAAAATCACTTACAATACTATAATACCTGTCAACAAACATGCATGAATTTTCTTCTGGATCTATCGCACCCTTTTCCGGTTTTTTTTGGGTCTGCCAAAACATCAGAGTAAAAATATATTTAAGATGGTTAACACACACACAACCACACCACACACACAGCATATTTCTTTAAAGTAATAGAATACGTGCTCCACATAAAAAACCAACGAATGAGCTAAATTCTTGGGAAGCAGCTCATCCAATTTCTTAGAGGCAACAGATCCGAATCCTTCCCAGACTCACACCTCTCCAATTCCTTAAACAAAGCCCTTTTCTTAACCTTCAATGGTAAACTGTCCCACACAAACACAACTCCTCAAAGCTCTATGCCTCATCATCAAAACCTTTCTTTTAGTTCGAACCATCAACAAAGTCAACTAGCACAGCACCCCAGCACCGGTCGCCACTATCAGGTGTGTCTTCCTTCCTTCCTGCTCGGTCGGGGTCACCCTGACAGATTCTCCCACACACGGCCGTTTCCAACCTCCCCCAATCCTCCCATCTTCCCTGCGTTCCATCAACAATTGCTAACCCCCGCCCCAACCAACACGACCAACGTTGTGAGATACGATATACTACGCTCAATGCTTAGTCTATCGATAGTCACAATGCAGTATTGCGATGATCAAGAGGACCACACCTACATATTCGCATATAAAAAACGCGTATAGTCAATACGAGGTTTTCGCCTTGGCCTCTAGTTCAGGTTTAGATCTGACGCCACGCTGATCCCGTCCCTGTGTGGTGTTCTCCTACTTTTGATAGCCTTCTTCCATTTTCTGGATAATCCTGTATCTGCTTCTATATTCTCCTAGATTGTTATAGTCACCATCATCCCTATAAAAAAATCGCGTTTTGAATCAGATACGGTATATGTATTCGGATCATCCCATTTTGCTTTTTAAAAAATCGCCCTGGTTCAAAAAAATTAACTGCTTCATAAAAAAGTGATCCACAATACAAGTATCTGTTAGCCAGTCCCACACATCATAATCGATATTACAGAACTACTAACATGTACACAATACAACCATAAATTGTTGAACGTGTGGTCAATTATTTATATATTGAGTAACATAATAACTAACAGATATACCTAGAAATAACACGCACACAATCAATGTGTTAGACCTCACTTCTAACAACACTCTCGCCCCACCTTACTCTTAAAGCCGTGAACTGGAGGCAAAGCCAATTACATTCAAATGGTATAGTCATCTCTATTCTAGCCTTCCCTTACTTATGCGGTATGTGATACAAAAACTCACCTTTTGTCGTTTTATACTTGTGTGGCTAGGGTTTTCAAACCCAATAAAAAACCATCTTATGCCTTTTAATTGGTGCTCCTCGCGCGTGCGTGTGTGATCTATACTTATATTTAGCTCTTCTTCAATCTTATATGGCTATTCCTATTAGACCATGGATCCTAAAATAAAGTTGTGTGTGTGGATGAATTTTTTGAATTCTGTTTATTTTTTCTTTGGTTCACTCTTCATTACGATTTCATTAATCTCCAAATGGGTCTCCCGAAACAGTTTCATCAATCGAACCAAATCCATCCAAAAAAAAAAACGATTTCTATCTTATGTATCCTCTTCCTCTTCGAATTAGAGGTTTTCAAAATCACCAAATATGGGCAGTGTTCCAACATCGTCAGATAAAAAAGTGAACCAAACCCCAACCCTAGCTGTTGTTTTTTCTGTTGATAGGAAGTGTAACAGCAGACAGTCGTTGCAAATCTCTCTCGGTTTTCTACGAGAAGGTAGATGGGATTGTCGTTACGGAAAAAGATGGAAACAGAAACTCTGCTGGTTTCGGGTGTTATCTCCGAACAGAGTTTTGAAAATGTTTGAGATGAACCAGACCAGAACCAAGAAGCCCAGAGTTGGAAATCGCCATTGTTGTTGTTGTGTGGTTGTTTGGGCTTCTTTGCCATGTCAATATGGACAAGCACCACACTTACGTTACGTTCAGCCGCAGCAGCAGAGCAAACGTGGAAGAGAGATTTTGAAAACGAAGACGTGAAGAAACCTAATAAACATAATTTTATATTCTTTTGTCATTAGAATTGACCAAATAAAAAATAATATTATATATCATAATTAAATATAATATGTGATATAATTAAAATTTCATGAGTTCGTACATTACATAAAAATTGGCCATAATTAAAAACTATATTAAATACACTTGTTTACATATGTGTAGATTAAATTTCCCAACAAAAGTGTTGTCGAGGCATGATTAAGAAAAATAAATTTAAGGGGAGACTTAGGTAAGTTCTGAATGTAATTTCCTTATGAGTTTAAGTCCTATTGTAGATAGGAATGTATTTTCCACAAGATCTTACATTAAACGTAACGTACGTGATTACCTATACGTAACGTGCACACCTACATAAACGTAACCGTGACACCTTACATAAAATGTAACGAACGTGTCACGTTACGTTTCGCCAAAACTTACATTGAGTTTTATATTTTTGTTAAATTTGAATGTGAAAATATTGCCTGATTTTTAGCTTGGTGTCACGTTTTACGTTCATATAAAACTGATGTCTATTAAGAAATTGAATGGTCTGCCATAGATTCATAGGTGTCACGTTACGTTTATGTAGGACGTTAACGTTTACGTTATGTTTATGTGGATATGATATGTTGTGTCACTTTACGTTTCAATATAAATATTGATCCCGTTATTTGGCAACATTCAATTTCTTAAGAAATAAAATGTGCCAAGATTCATAAGCTGTCACTGTTACGTTTATGTGGAGTGCACGTTACGTTACGTTTATGTAGTATATTGTCACCATGGTAACATTCAATTTCCCATATATATGAAATTGAATGTTGGCCAGTAGTCTAAGCTGGTCACGTTACGTGTTATATAGGTGTGCACGTTACGTTACAGGTGCCAATTACGTTTATGTAAGGTGCCACGTCTTACGTTACGTTTATATAGATAATGATCTATGGTAATATCAATTTCCTATTATATGGTTTTCTTATGTAATTTATGATAATTAACAAATTAATATTGAAGGCGTAAATGTCCTGCTTTGTCAACAAACTTTTTCACAGATTTATTGGGATATAAAATTTTTTATAGTTAGGCATTCATATGTTTAATAAGTCTGTCCTAATAGGACTTAAAATACATTTTCTCCTTAATTCTAAAGTGACTTGTTATATTTTCATGATGTTTTTATTATAAAAAATGTGTCATGTAATAAAATTACAGAATTAAAATATAAAATAATTGTATAATGGGTGTGAAGAAAATCTATTGGCACAGTTAATGTACCCAATTCCCTTAAAATGCTTGGATTTTACATTGCCAATTTACAAGCATGGCCAAACAAGTGCAATAATGATACCACGTTTATCACGTCATCAGTATCATTATCAAATAAATTGTTGCTATTTACCTTACTTCATGCATATGTAGTAAGTAATGACTTTTGATTGAAATAAGTTCAAATCATCGCTCATTTTAAATTAGTAAAAATGTTTTCGGACCCCACTAATTCAGACCCCTACAAACCCCCAGCTGGCTAGAAAGTCACGTGAGCAGTCACATCGTGAAGCAGTTCATGTGACTTTCAGCCCACCGCACCTCCTCTTTCTCTCTCCTCATTATAGAATTTAAATCCGAAGCTAAGTTATAAAAGAGATAAGACTCTCATGCTCTTTCTCTCACCTCTTATTTTTTTTGTTCTCACTTCGACGGCCGGACATCCCCTTGCAAAATCGACGCCCAAAACAAGCTCCTCTTTCTTGTCCCTTCAGATCTTCTCAGTAGACGGCTCCTCTCCTGAGTTTCCGACGGCTGCCGAGCCAAAAACCGACGCTGGCGCCCCCGACACTCCTTTTTCGCGTGTCTTTCCCTTTCACTTGGACGCCCAAACTGCTCTCTCTTCGCTCTCTTTCCCTCTCATTCAACAAAGACAACAACTAAGAGGTAAGCTTGTATATATATATATTCGGTATATATATTAGGGCTTGTAGATATATATGTATGTTGTATATATATATTAGGGCTTGGGATAAACAAGATGGGTTGAATGCTGTAAAATGTTGGAATTAGGGCTTTTGGCAATCTCATAAACAATTTGAATCTTGAATTTGGCCTTTTGATTTGGGAATTGAGTATACTTTACCTTATCTACCACCTGTTCGATGAAATTCCTCTACTAAATTTTCCATTCATTCATAAATTATTCTACTCATTTGGGTATAGTAAATGGCTTGGGAATGACTTCTTGTGTTTGATTTCAACATTTCTTGGTTGTTCATTGATTTAGTATGATAATTAGTTGGTTGATGATATTGAGTTCTTAGAGCATCTCCAACGGTTCAGCTAATGTTTCACCAAATCTGAGTTAAAAATTTCATCAAATTTGAGTAAAAAATGACTCATTTTCTCAATTTGATATCAGTTGCTCCAACGGTGCATCAAAATCCCGTAGGTCAACCGGTAAGGCTAAATATATATATATATATATATATATATTTTACCTTTTTGAACTGTTTGAACCCACGTATGTGAACTGGAGGAGGGGCGACCGGTTGGTCGACCGGTAAGGCAATTAATTTTTATTTTTTTTTTGGTTTCCCTCCATTTCTGTTCCCAATTCTTTTCCTATTTCTTTTTCCCTCCATTACATATATGTCGTTTTGGTTTACCTCTAACAATGATTTTCTTCTAAAATCTCATATAAACACATTATTCATATGCCAGGCAACTTCACACAACTGATACGATCATAGCTTAAACAAAACAGAGCACAATGAATACCTTCAAATCCATAATATTGACTTCATTTTCATCCTCTTCTTCTTCCTCCTCCTCTGATGATGAGTCTGATGATGAATATATGGTCACACTTTTAGGGGTTTATGAGCAAAATAATAGTAGTATGCTTCAGATTCTTAAGTCAAGTGATAGCTCAAAGAAAATAAGTGGTTCAGTTGTAGGCCATAGGTATATATGCAGAGATAGAAGGCAGGGTCATGATAGATTATTTGCAGATTATTTTGCTGTAAATCCAATGTATTCACCTACAATATTTCGGAGACGTTTTCGAATGCGTCGTCCTTTGTATCTACGAATTTTGAATGCAATCCAAGCACACAATTCATATTTTGTTCAAAAACAAGATGCAGCTGATGTAGTTGGATTATCTCCCCTACAAAAAATGACTTCAGCGATGAGAATATTGTCATATGGTGTCGCAGCAGATGCAGTTGATGATTACATACGTATCGAGGAAAGCACTGCAATTCAAAGTTTGCAACAATTTTGTAATTTAGTGATTGAAATCTTTGGCGTAGAATATCTGAGATCTTCGACACCAACTGACATTGCTAGATTACTTGCTATTGGGGAGGTTCGGGGGTTTCCTGGTATGTTGGGAAGTTTAGATTGCATGCATTGGGAGTGGAAAAATTGTCTAAAGGCATGGCAAGGTCAATATGTAGGCCATCAAAAAAAGTCAACCATTATTCTTGAAGCAGTAGCATCTTATGACTTATGAATTTGGCATGCATTTTTTGGAATGCCTGGCTCACACAATGATGTGCTATTAATTGACATCCTTGTTTTCTGATCTTGCGCAAGGTAAAGCTCCCCCTGTCCATTACACTATTAATGGACATAGTTACGATATAGGTTATTACTTTGCTGATGGTATATACCCTCAATGGGCAACACTGGTTCAAACAATTTCTTCTCCCCAATGAGCAAAGAGACAACATTTTGCAATGATGCAAGAGTCTGCTAGGAAAGATGTTGAGCGGGCATTCAGAGTCCTTCAATCTCGATTCGCAATTATAGGTGGTGTTGTACGTTTTTGGGATCCGAAAATGCTTGCCAACATAATGAAAAGTTGCATTATATTACATAATATGATTGTCGAAGATGAGAGGGAGGAGCACCTTGATTTCTATTATGAAATTTCATCAACCAACACACCAGTGCAACTTTCCTCTACTCCTACCAATGACTTCCAATCATTTTTGTCTCGTCATTTAGGTATTAGAGATAAGGATGCATATTATGCCCTCCGTAATGATTTAGTAGAACATATGTGGCATCTTCATGGTGAACACTAAATTCACCACATCAATACATGTTATTTTGTTTATAGTTTTGGAATGGAAGGTTGTCTTGTTTATAATCTTCATTATGATGCACTATATTAACCAAGTAATTCAGAAGTTATGTGATGATGTGCTATTCAGAATTGTTCTGTGCTCAATTCATGAGAATTACAAATGATAATAATCATGTCTTAATCAGTTACAAATGATAATACCACATAAATTTAATAATCATGTTTTAAATTTTGTGTTCAATTCAGTATTGATGTGCCACAAATGATAATACCACATCCATTTATGCACATTTAATAATCATGTCTTAAATGATAATTTAATAATAATGTCTTAAATTACAGATGTTCATGTGCATAATCATAATGTCTTAAATTACTGATGTTGATTTGCATAATCATAATTTAATAATAATGTCTTAAATTACTGATCTTAATTTAATAATAATGTCTTAAATTACTGCATAATCATTATTCGTGCATATACAAATTTATTGATGTGCCATTCATTTACTAATGTTGATCTTGCCATTCATTTATTGCCTCAGTTGAAATGCATTCAACATACAGAGTTAAAAAATACTTAATAATGTTGCCATTCATTTAGTCAGTGGATAAATACATTCCACCTACATTCATGGCATACTACAGACACTACATACGTTTGAACCACCTACCATTCATTTTACACACACCACTTACCATTCATTGAATTCATTCCACCTACCATGCCTCATTTTACACACACCACGGTTGTTGAGTATTAATTTCCTCATCACCCACCTCAATAATTCACCCTATATATCAGCTCAAGATTGTATACAAACCTGTCATCAAAAAATTCACTTTATTCACTGAATACCTCAGCCCATAGATTGCCTCTATAAGAACACATTCACTGTATTCCCTCCACCACCACCTTCAAATTCGGCTTAGCCAAATTCTAATCCCAAACTTAAGTGTGAATCCACAGAATCAGCAAGGCAAACCATCTGAATCAAGAAAGCCAACATCAGCAAGAACAGGAACAAGAAGGCAGCATCCCAAAACAAAGTAGGTTACATGGCACGGGTCAACCGGTTGGTCAACCGGCCCTTTGTTATTTATTTATTTTTTTTTTTGCCTTTCAGTGTGCATGCTTTATTTGTTCAACTTTATGCTTTATTAGTTCAACTTTAACCTTCTCAAGAGCATAAAATTCATGTTTTAATCAAACTACATTCATGTTCAATATTTTAAAAATTAACTTCTGTGGTACAAAACACATGTACTGGCATATGATGATTTTTAGTTTTAGTATGCACTTCTGAACAACAAACACTGCATGACATGACGTAAAAATTAATGTGCCATTAAGCATACACCAATTAGTATGCACTTCAGTATAAAAATGACATGAAGTAAAAACACTTTAATATGCATTCTAATATTAAAACACTGTAATATAAAAATTAATGTGCCATTCTAAGCATACACCAATTACTGCATAACATGAAGTAAAAACACTGCATAAAAATGCTTTCCATTTCAGTATGCACTTTATTAGTATGCATTTTCCATTAGTATGCAAAACCAATTAGTATGCATACTAAATGCTTTCATGTTTTTCCATTTTAATATGCATTGTAATATTAAAACTACATTCATTTGAATTCTAAGTTCATTTTAAGTTCATGTTTGAATTCTATATTTATATTCAGCATAACACCAGAAAAAACACCAAGCCAACTGTAATTCAGCTTTCATATGTAACACATATTCATTAAAATTCAACGGATATTGACATCATGTCTAGAACTAAAAGAGCGAGACCACAAGTTGGTGAAAGTTCCAACCCTTCACGACGCCAAGAACAACAGCCTCAAAATCAGTCATATCCTATTGATGATTTTCTCAGTGAAAGTCATGAACTAGCCTTTTCAAACTTCTCCAGCCGACCTATTGTAACAGGGAGGACGGTAAATCTGCCACCTCAATATGATGCACTATTAGTTAGTAAACTTGAAGCAATGGGATGGCTAAATTTAATTAATTTACTCCCAAAGGTATATCCACGGCTGGTATCTCTATTTTATGTTCACCTAAGAGGTACTTAGGAAGAAGATGAAAATTTTACTCTTTGTCATATGTGAAAGGAAAGGGTATACAGCTTGATATTCCTACTTTGGCAAGCATTATTGGAGTTGAGGTAGGTGATGAAAATATCCATTTTCAGAGTGAGGCTGAGTTAGCTAATATTATTGGTAATGCTACTGATGTATATACTACTATTTGTCAGAACAGATTTACTGGGACTAGTTTACAAGCAAGACATTTAAAACCTTATCTTCGAATTCTCCACAGGTGGATTGTAGAAAATGTCACTCCAAAAAAAGGACATCATGATGCGGTCCCGTATTTTAATGCCTATTTGTTATACTGTTTTGAAGTTGGCCATAAGTTAGATGTGTGTTACACAATTATGAAAGAAATGATGTTTGCAAATCAAGCTCAATTCACGGGCCGTTCATTACTGTTTGGGGCACTGTTGACAAAAATTTTCAAACATTTTAGGGTTCGCCTTGTAGATAAAATGGAGATCAAAATCCGTTCACCCATTAATCAATATATAGTGACCTGTGCTGGTGTAGTCTCCAATTTAATGGGAAGTGTTAATGCTCCAGAAGATTCAGAAGATAAAGTCCCACCAGATGATTGTCATACCCCCAAACTCGCCCCTAAAAGTTTGGGCATGACCTATGCAGAAACGGACACTTAACCTGATATACATAATATATGGGGCCTAAACGGAAGCATTTAATATTACAAAGTAACATAGAATAACATCCATTGAGCTAAAACTAACATGCCAGGATCACATACGTGAGAGTCATTTATCTATATACATACCCAAACACATAATGGAGCATATAACCAAACATTGGTAAAGAAAGGGGTCATATATATACATTTTAACCTTAGGTAAATAATTAAAGTGCAAGCCAAAATCTTTACAACACTCCACATAAATACATCACTCCACATAAATGCATGGGCTTGGTCTGGGAGCCTGGGCATACTGAGGTTGACAATTGAAGGGTGAGCTTTAAGGGTTAGGACGGACTCCTAAAGCGATTACCTACAGAACGGACATAACACAAAGTGAGCGAAGCTCAGTAAATAATAGTACATAACAATTCAATACTCAATGTGAATTATAACACATTTCAATGCATACATAACTAAGAGGGCATAAGGTTAATTGATTCTGTACTAATTTCATAATGGCCTTAGGCCCAGTCTTGAAATATAATGTCTTGAAACATAACGGCTTGAAGCCTTTGAACAGAGTGGCATAAAGCCCTTGAATATAGTAGCATTAAACTTTTAAACATGTTGGCCTATAGCCCTTGAACTTATGGCATGAAGCTCTTAAACATGTTGGCATATAGCTCTTGAACATATTCGTATGAATTCAAGAGGTGTCTCACACGGATTCTAGAAGTGACTCCCATCGTAGCACGTAGTTCTGTGTAGCACTTTGTTTCATATCATAACAACTAATACGGAATGGCCATAGGCCTCATAACTTTCACAACAGAATGGCTTTTAGCCTCATAACTTTCACAGAATGGCTTTCAGCCTCATAACTTTCACATATGTATGGACTCAAGTGGTGGCTCGCCTTGCAGCACTTTGTTCCATACTAGAAATACAGAATGGCCTCTGGCCTAATAGATCATATAGAATGGCCATAGGCCCAGATTGGCTTTAAGCCTAGTTCATATATGTATGGACTCAAGAGGTGTCTCACATGGACTCTAGAGGTGGCTCACAATGTAGCACTTACTTCCAAGGAGCACTTTGTTCCATACCAGTAATTAACTGGTTTTACAGACCAACCATACATATCATGTCATGTTATAAACGGAAACAATTTCATACATATGCATTATGCTTGAATCATATACAAAAATCAGAATTCATACTTAATTATACTTGTCACTTCAATAGCGCTAACAAGTCAATATATAGCATTCTTGTTAGTTTCATAAAGGAATTCCTCGGTACTAAGAACTTGTAACATCCTTGAATTTGTAACATACGTGAACCACGGTATTATTACCCCCGGGTAAGGGCCTTGTGCTAAGGATGCCTTGAATACCTTTATATAAATGAACAATCATTCAGTGATTCAAAATGTAACATGTTAGAAAATAGGGCGTTTCTTGTCATATCATGTTATTATCGTACACTTAACAAAGATAGAATAATTCACATTCTCATGAGGGTTATATAAAAATGTTAAACTTTTGCCCTTATGCCGTGGTTTCATAGCTTTCCAATTATTCCAATTTTTCGAAGGTGTCTACCCTTGACAACCTATAACTGTCTCATATTTACTCAAAATCTGTTCTTCAAGAGTAAATATAATTTCTCTTTATTCCTTAAGAAACGGCGTAGTTCACTTGATCTATTAATCAGTAGCACATAGAAGCATACACCTTTGTTTGATCGTTCGTATGTGTTAACATAGTTAACTTGTAATTAACAGAGTACTCATGGTAACCGTTACATCATTCACATGAATTAACATAGTTAACTTAAGTCTAACAGGACATTCCTGATAATTATTAACAGAAGGTAAGC